AGTAGTAGTAGTAGTAGTAGTAGTAGTAGTAGTAGTAGTAGTAGTAGATGTAGTAGTAGATGTAGTAGATGTAGTAGTAGTAGCAGCAGCAGCAGGAGTAGTGGTAGTAGTAGTAGTAGTAGTAGTAGTAGTAAGTATAAGTAGTAGTAGTAGTAGTAGTAGTAGTCGTAGTCGTAGTAGTAGTAGTAGTAGTAGTGGTAGTAGTAGTAGTAGGAGGAGCAGCAGCAGCAATAGCTAGTAGCTAGTAGCTAGTAGCTAGTACGTAGCAGTAGCAGTAGTAGTAGCGGCAGCAGAAGTAGTAATACGAAACTACGAAACATTGACCTGGTTGCGGGCTCAGATTAACTGGGGGGATTTCTGGTAGAGAACTATAGACCATTGGGGGGGAAATCAACAACCAATACTACTTTTAATTTGGGCAATTTCCAGCGGCTTTGTGGGCTCGGGTTAACTAGGGAGGATTTATTAGTCCTAACTTTACAGTTGCATCACCAAAGATACCTTTGAAGACTGCTTCGTGTGACATGGTCAGTGACACCGCAAGAAGAACTGGGCAACGCTATTACTTGCGAGATCTTTGCGAGTTTGTGAGCCTGTGAGGCTCTTCGAGAGTTTGAGGAATTCCCACTGATCCTGAATTTATGGCCAGCCATCATTATGGCTGGCAAGTTTGCCGTAGAAATTTTACAAACTCGCGAAACTGCGAGAAAGAGTCAAGCAACGTGAAGCAGAGCTTTAATACGAAGTCTTGCCATGTTCGCTAGTTCCAACGCCTTTCATAGGTGGCTGCTGCCGGCTGTGAGTTGGCGGTTTGCCACTGCTTCGGCCACTGGCCTGAAAGGCTAGGGGCCGAGCGCGCTTAAGAGTCGAGGAACCAAAGAATCAAAACGATCCATGTGTGGTGCACGGGAACCTCAAACTTGTCCCCCTTATCAGTGGTCTTTTGGGGCCGGTAGCTGAGAAACAGCTCACTCGCAGCTGAATGCTGGTTGAACTTTCCCCAACGGGGGCTGTGGTGTTGACAGCTTGCAGCGGAAAGGATGGGCCATGTGTCAGGAGCAACCGCCTGTGTTTGACCCGTCTAGGGAGGCTCAAGATTCAGCTTAAATTCAACAGCGATGGCATCTAGCTGGGGACATGAGGCTTGGATCATTTAGGTGGAACAGAGACTGCATGATGCCGCCGGCACAGGTTGTGGGCGACAAGAACATGTTTTCTTTGCCTATACTTTTGCACAGGACTGGAAGCCTTGACAATTCGCGACGGCAATCGGTCAATCAGCACCTTCTCGAATGTAAGTTCTTGTTTTTGTGCAGAGCCCTTGCTCCTTCCTTTGCCTTAGGCTTGTTTGCTAGCGTTTATCGCCAGCCGTCACTGACCATTGCGTGAATGTTGTCCATTCTGGTGTTGCGTGCTCTCATGTGCTCTCATTCGCCAAACCATCTGGTCAAAAGATGAGTTATATACATATATATCTAGCAACACAACAGGCTCACCTGAAGCAGAATTCCGTACGCCTCTATGGGACGCAGCATGCCACAGGTGCCATGCAACCTCTCTCTCTCTGCCTGAACCCCAAAAGCATCACCACAATCGAGCGCAACCCACGGGAAAATAGGATCAAGTAGGAAGGGACGCAACCACCGACCCTCGGGAAGGCTGCGGTCAGGGCACCCGTTCAGGGCACCCCTTCAGCGGTCATTTATATAAATTAACTCATCGTCACCTGAGCGTTTCAGGCTGCCAAATGGCACTGGTAAACGCGATCCAAGATCAGAAATCCGACTTTTTTTGTTTGGCCGGGATCTTTTTTACTCTTTCCCTGGAGTGCAACCACAAGGTGATCAAATTCCCTGCAATCCCGCAAGCCCTAAACTCAAATGATCTCTCGATCTCTCTATGTTTGATTGGGGGGTGGGGCTGTGCATCCCAAAATTGCAAGCCTGAGACCACAGTGCGATAGGCAAGCTGTTTGTTTCAAGCACTGGGCATCCTTCATGGAAGTTTTCAAAGTGTCATGTGCCCAGGGGTAGAGTTTAGACGGGATCTTGCAGGCACTTTTCTGGCAAGCAAATACTTTCCCCAAACGGCAGCTAGAGAAAGGAATCAAGGGTTCCCTGAGACAGACTGCCGGTGACCCAACCCCTTTCGAATGGCATGAGGAAGAACACCGCGAGAAGTGTTCAGTTTGCCATGCTGAACTCATTGTATTTCGGAGAGTCTTTGAAAGGGACGCATGGGACTATCACTTCCATGCCAAGCTCGGTGTACTTCTTGTAGTTTTCAAAACCTTTTCCTTTGGATCCTTTGGACCGTCCACGAGCGATGAGTCATCCAAACCCTGTCCTGCTCCGTGACCCGCAGGAGCAGGTGATGAAGCCATCCCTGACAAAGTGGGCGTTGAGGTGCACCTTTCCAAGCAGGAGAACCGCCGAGACAACCGCATCGAGACAACCGCATCCTCATATTTCACCAAGTCTGAAGAGAGCTGGTTGAAGCTCTGATTGAACCTGTTGAGATAAGACAACTCAAATAAGTCCGAATCACAGGGGTGACTGACAGAGATGGGGGGCATCTCACCATGTTCGTGTCCGCACCAGATCTTCATGAGGCCACAGGGCATTCTGAACCCAGATTGAGCCCGACACGTTCCTTCAGGGAGGCCTTCGGCCAGCTTTGTGTTTCACTTCAACCCCCCCGAGGAACATTGCCAAGAGAAGCATCTCGGAAAGCTGGCCGTTGCGATTAGGTATCGCTGTGAGTTTGTCCGTTGGGGTTAGGCATCGTTGCTTCGGTGAACCATGATTGCATGGAGAGGCGCCTGCGCAACCGATTGCTCTAGCTTCCGTCTAAAACCCGCGGGCCTCAAGTCAAGTCTAGCATCCTTTTTAAAAGCTGGCCACAGACCTTTTCGCTCGCGAAGTCTGCCAAAAGACCAACGTCATGCGAAGTCTGTGACCAAACGTCAACGTGGCGCAGTGCAGTGGACAGGAGAGAGCGGCACTCAAGAAGGTCGAGTGCAGCATGTGCACTGCGATTATCAGTTCTGGGCTCAGTCCGGCTGCCTGCGTTGGATCCGATGCTTCGACCGGACTTGAGAGGCAAGTGTTGACTCGGTCCGGCACACGTCGCGTGGCTTAGGGAATGTCCTGAGATAGGAGCCTCACAACTGGCTTTGGCAAGTGATGGTCTCATTTCTCACTCAAATGCCAAAGGAAATAGGCGATTCTTGTTTGAGACATACCGAGCCCTGCAACACCCTGAGACTCATGCCCTCCACATGCTTTGTGCAAGGCGAGATGCATGCAGAGGTGGCACGGCACAGCATGATTAGCAAAGGCACGGCCACAGAAGCCCGTTCTTTTTCGGGAATGCGCTGGCCATATTGGCCAGGATTTGGGGAGCGTTCAGCTCTACATACGGCAAAGGATCAAACGCGCGTCCCTCTTCACACCCGAACGGTGGACCGCCTTGCTCGAAGAACCGAAGCAAATGGTTCGGTGACTGCGGCGACGAGCCCATGTGTTTCTCGCCGGAGGTGTTGGGTCTGAAGACCAAGTTTGGGAGACCTCGAATGCCATGTGCTTGGCCTTGCTTCAGCCCCTTAGATGGAACGAGGAAAGTCGGGAAAAACGAAGGGTCGGGCGGGAGAGGTGGGAGAGGTGGGAGAGGCAGATGCTCCTTGAAACAACCATGAGGAAATATCAGCTGAATTTGGGCAGCGAGCCCAGCCTGCAGAAGAAGGAGGAGGATGATGAGATGGCGTTGCTTGTGTTGCGTTTATATGCGTATTACTACACGCATGGTGTGTCGTAGTGAACGTAACCAAAGTATTGTCACTGCCTAATTATTCAACTGCGTTGCCCATGGAAGGTGGTCAGCTTGGTATCTGGACTCAGGATGGCAGCTGCTGCTGAAGCCGGAAGGCAGCATGACTTCATGCGTGCCATGTTGGTCCTGAAAATGGGGTGCCAACAATGGTTGGAAGACTATGGTGGTGATACTTCTGGATTCATTTTCAAGTCCGTGAAGGACCGGAAAGCCGTGTTCTCTTCACCGAGCAAGCTGCTAGTGTTGAGACGACGTGCGAAGCGTCATGGGCACCCCTCGGTCCCTCCCATTCCGTTCGGATCGCGTCAGGAGGGATCTCAATCGCCGGCGGGGGCAGCGAAGGAGTTCTGCGTTCGAGCGAGGCAATGCGGCAAGGCCAAGGAGAGCGGTTGGGACGAGTGGAGTTCGGCACAGGCAAGAAGCACCTTGTTGGCCAGGACCGGAAGAAACAGCAAAAGGCCAAAGAGAAAGAACGCTTGAAACAGCGTGACTTGGGCAAACAATTGAAGGTTGCGGAAAACAAGGGTTGAGAAGCCACCTGCTGCAAGTGAGATGGTGCGACATACTTAATACAGACAGACAGAATGCCTATAATGATTCTATTGTTTTTGCCTGACTGCAAGAGATTGTTTTTCAGTAGCTGGTAGTGGTGTCATGGTGTCGACAGAATTTGCCGGTTTGACCAGAGGCATGAAGATGGCAGAAGAGGCCGAGAGAAAAGAAGCGGAACAACGCAAAGATGATCCGATGAGTTCCTTGCCAGAAGATTCCAAGTTGGGTATCCAGCGCATGCTTGAGATGGCACGAGATGATCCCCTACATTATTTGGAGGATGATGCCAAGGAGCGTGTGCAGAAAGCTCGTCACGACCTGCGCTGTAGCGTGTGTGGCACCATCTTGCAAGATGCGTTCCAGACGCTGAAAGCAAGGCCAAAGAGCCTGCAGAGTGAACATGAGATCTTGACGATCATGGAGAAGATCTGCGAGGGAGGCGCCGATCGCTCGCTCCCCAGCTACTTTGGCATCGATCCGCCCCCCTTGCCTCCAAGATGGACCGACCACTGGCGTCCGGTCCGGACGGAGAAGGGCTTCGTGTTGAAAGGCTGGAAAAAGGGGGCCGCCAAGCGGCAGAAGTGGAGGAAGCTCGCAGAGGAGGGGAAGCAAAAGCCAGTGGGGATCGATGAAAACGAGCAAGCTGGAAGCTGAGAGAAGCTGAGAAAGCAAGGCCGAAACAAAGAGCTAGAGAAAGAGGACGTAGATGCCAATGCCATCATTTCATGTCACCAATGCTTTGCCGAGGATATGATGCTGACGATGACGTGCAAGGACATCCCACAAGGTTTTTCCTTAGTGACTGGAACCTGTGGCTGTAGGTTGAGACTGGAGCGCAACGCCAAAAAGCATGTAATAATTCAGTAGCATTACAGTAGATGGCCACTAAAATGGATCTCCCTGCTTTGACGCTAGGAGGTGCATCCTGAAATTCTGCCCACCTAGTCATGCGCAGTCGATAGCGCTTCGTCATGCGCTTCTCCAGGACATTTTGGAACCCGAGCGCTTCTCTGAGTCGCTCTTCCGCCACATGACCTCCTGTCAGGACGCCATGACGACCGTGACGACCGAGTCGCTGGTCGCTCGCTTTCGACCCGCGGTTGGGGGTCAGGGCGAGTGAGGCCAACGTTTCACTCGGATGTGAAGAACACGCGCCGCGAGGCACAGGAGGCCTGCCACGCTGCAAGCGCTGCTGCCAACGAGGCGACCAAAAACGCGGTGTTGAAGCGAACCACGGGACGCGTGCCCCACGCCGCACGCCGAGGTGTGCCGCGCGGCTTCTTCCGGTCGGCCGTGCGTCGCCGCGGCCCGAGGAGATCCTTTTGCCATGCCGGTTGGTCGGAGCGGATGACATCTAAGGAAGGGAAGTCAGAGCTATGAAGGAATGAACAGCTATGAAGGATTCCTTCCTATGGGGACAGAATGGGATGGATAGAATGTAGATCGTTTGTTCGGCCCGGTGCTGCGAAGAACGTGGGCACGCCAAAGAAAGTGGCTTGCGCGTTTCGTGCGTGGGGATTTTTTTAGGGTGCCGTTTGGACCAAGATTGATCATTCATCCAAGTCACATCAACCGGCTAATCTTTTTGCGTAATATCAGGACAGGAATAATAGGTGCTAATTATACTTTATAGATCTTTATAGCTATACACAATTATGCAATTGACTATATATTCTTCCAGAGTCAGTTCACGCTTTCGCCGCCGTTGGCTCAAGTTTCTTGTGCTGATTGGTCTGCCGCCAGTGCTAGCCTCATCGTGTTTTTGAGCCGAGAGCAGCGGCATCGGGAGTCCTACTGAGAGATGGACCGGCCAGAGTAAGAGGAGTAAGTAACTGGGGTCGTGAACTTATCTTCTCACCTCTTTCTTCCGTCTCGATCTGCAGGGGATATGAACAGTCCGAGGAAGCTCCATAGCTTCCTCAGTCCAGTCCAATCCCTCAAAAGATAGCTCCTCGTGCTTTTGGCCGAGGAAGTTTGCCATGGCGGTTCCTCAGCTGCAGAAGCCAGAACACGTCTATCGTCTTCTTAGAATCAATCTCACACATTTGATCTCTATTTTTGCATATGTTTGTTCTCAGCTGGTACCATCCCTGAAACCATCATGGAAGTGGACCATGGCCCTTTGGAAGGCGATTTTCCACCAAGAGGGGGCCCAGTCCACGCACCGATGAGGACAGGGATGGTCACTCCTCCCTACCGCCCAGGAGAGGGTTGGCATCGCCTTGGGCGGCGGCGCTGCTGCTTCCAAGCCGCCCGGCTCGAGAGGCACCGACGCAGCGCTGCGGTCGACCGCAGCCGCTTCGGAAGAGATCGGAACATCAGCAAAAGGACGACGCCCAAAGAAGGCAACAGAACTAACTGTAATGAGAATAGGTCTCCCAGAAGGTCCATGTTTTTCAGATTGATGTAGACTCTTGATTAATAACCACCCCCATAGTCATTTGGATTGAAACACCTCTTCATGTGGGGTGGTTTATTCATCAAGAGCCTACAGTGTACCTACAGTAGTGGAGGCGAGCAGCATGCCCAGTTGCAGATGGTTAGAGGTGACAGGTGTAACGCTTGTATAAGACTCTATAGACAAGAGACGGTAGCTTTTGTCTATGTGACTCGCCTGCGTGACTCACTCGGCGTCGTGACGACTCGGCCCTCCTTCTTCCGTCTGTGGCAGGTGCCCGGGGCCACCGACTGATGGTGCCTCCGCCTGGCTACAAATTTATTCCTCGGACCGAGTCCACCCAGCCAGATGTTGGACGAGGGACGGCCCGCGCCGTCCCCCCCGTGCAGTTTTGCCGCGCGGCACGGTGACCAACTGCCTTTCTCGCCAGGCAAGTTTGCCAAGAGATGGGCTGCTTCGAATGCTATGACATCTACTGTGAACGGTGTGAATCGAAGGAGCTGAGATGAACTGAGAAGAACTGCGCTCCGATCTTCACAGTTCCCGCGCCTCCCACGCTTGTTTGGGGCCACCGCACGGAACCGGTGGCCAGGACCGGCGCATCATTGAGCTGGAAATGCGGAATACGGAGCTCGTACGGGCCTTTTCGTGACGAAAGTCGTTCTGGCAAAACGGCAGAGAAACGATCCCAGGAGAAGATTCGGAGGATCGTTCCTTTCTTCAATGCTAGATCAGTCATGCATATAGTCATAAGTGTAGTCGTAGTCTTTATAAAGCACAGTTGTGGCGTGCATGCAAAGAGCAACTCATCTACAGGCTCATCAGGCTCCTTATCATCTCACTCATCTCAATTCGACTGTCAGTGGTTTCCACCTTCTTTGTACCTTCACGGCTTCTTTGTTGAGGTCAAGCACATCACCCTGCTACAGGCTCGGTTCTTGAGTCTTTGTAAGATGCCAGACTGGGGATGGCGGGCAAGATTGAGATGAACATGTTAGCTTATGCGCCTGCCTGGCAGTGTCTGTAGAGAGCCTTTCCGCATCGCCCAGCATTCCAGGTTGGAATCCTGATGAATCCTGCGCACATTCGTCCGCTCGAACCGATTTCTCTTAAGGACCCATTGGACACATATTCGGGAACCAATTCTCCAACGTAACATTTAAGGACTAGCTGGTGCTCAGGACAGCTCTGCCATGCGGAGCTGCCCCTTGTCCCCAGAAAAGACCGAGAGCCGTGAGCCGTTGCATGTTCACATGGAGATGGGTCAAAACCACCTGAAACCCCAACATCCACCATGTAGTGAGCTTCACCAACACCAGGTAGGTCGTGCCCGGGTCTCCTCTCCTGGTGCCACCTCTTCACAAAATGGGAGAAGACTTCCAGTTTTGGCTTCTGGGGGAAGTTGCTAGAGCCACAACCACAGCCACTTCGGAGCAAGTCCTTCGCTCCAGGCCCGGCTCTTCCCCCGTGATGGACAAGCGCCCGTGGCTGGCCGGCCGGCGGGCGGTGGAAGTGGCCCAGGCGCCCGCGAAGACACGGCCCGACAAAAAGCGCTACTAAATGATAGAAACAGCTAATCTACCTACTGTAGATGACTATATGATGATCCTACATGTGCATGCACTACCTACATGAAACAGCTAATCTACCTAGATGACTATAATCCTACATGTGTGTGTGTGTGCGCGCGCACATGTTTTTTGTGTTATTTTTCTATTCTCTCCCTGTCTCCCGATACACTCTGACACTGGTTTTCCGTTAAACTCAATTTCTCCGATGGGAAGGAAGGCGAGGGAACGGCAAGGTGGCAAAGTCCGCTGAAAAGTATTGTTTAACACAAGTTTCACGACAAACGCAAGTGGAAGCGGCGGTCAGCAGCTGCAGTGCAGTGGGAAACCTGTTTGTGGGGAGAGTATCGTGTGGAACCACCATGAATCAAACCAAAAGATTGGACAGCGTGTTCAAAAGTTGTAGCAGGTACGCAGGGCTGATCGGGCCCTGCTTCCCACTCTCGCCCACAGCTTCGTTGCGTGTGGTAGGGCGAGAGTGCCACACGCCCCTGCCTGTGTAGAGTGGAAAGAGTGGTGGTGAAAGACCCTTTGTCCAGGGTGGGACACACACAGGTCGCCGCATTCGGCGCTTTTTTCAAAAACCGGTGGCAAGCGTGGTAGTTATGCCCCTTTTGGACATATAGGTTCACGAGTTCAGCCGCAGCAGCGTCAGCGCTGGAGGGTGGAAATGTGTATTTTCGAATGGTGTGGAGTCGTGATTGGAGGCCTGATAGAGCCAAGCGCTGGCTCCCGGCGGTTGTGGAATCCCGGATTTTCCAGGGTTGAGAAGGTTGCATGTAGGTGATAGTGCGTTGTGGGAGGTCGATGTTGAAACCGAGGAGATGAAAATCCTCCACCGGTTCAAGTTCCACAGGGTCGCCAAAGAAATTGTGGTGGATGAGGGTTTGGATAGCCGGGTGTTGGAGGAAATGTTCGTTGTGGACAATGAAACGATTGTCGACATATCGATAGTAAGTAAAGTGGAGGTCTGTGTGTTGAAGGAGGTTGTTGTGGATCTGATGCCATGAATGCTCAATGAGGGTGATGGCAACATTGCATAGGGCTGGAGAGAGCTGGGATCCAATCCCGGCCCCTCGGATTTGTTTGTAAGTGTTGTTGCAAGCCCGGAAAATGCATGTGTCGAGGGCAAAAGCCACAATGGTGGTGATGTCGGAAGTCTGGATGGTGCGTTGGGTAGGGTGTTTGCGATGGTGTCTGCCAATGTGGGAGTGGTGGAACGGATTGCCGGTGGCCTGGACATCCACCGTTAAGGTGTGTGTGGATTGCTGTTGTTGCCAGTGGAGAACAAGGGAGTGGACTGCATCGATGAGTCTGTGCTGGGGGGACGGAGTTGAAAAAGCCGACCAGGTCATCATTGGTGGCGTGTAGTGAGATGTCGGGTGGGGTTTGGGTGAGGTAACTGTGAAAGTGGTGCCAAAGCTGTGGAATGGACATTTGGCCTGGATGCTGAGGGTAGAGGTGTTGGAGGATAATGTCGAGGGCACGGCTGGTGATGCGTAGCAAGTTGCCGCTGAGTGATTGGAAGTAGGATATAATTGTACGGCCTTTTTGCCAGTGCTTCTTCTCTTTAAGGTGGACAACACCGTAGGGGATGTTGAAGTCTTTTCGGAAGCCCCACTTGTAGCGGGTGCGCAGGATGGGGGGGACGGTGGCGGCCAGGTGGTCATGGATGTTGGCGACAGTGATGTAGGGAAGTGGTTCAAATAGTTCGGGGGATTGCCAGGTGTTGAAGGCGCCAGTGAAGTATTGGCGAGGGCAAAACAGTCGCAGTTGTTGGAGCTCATGATCGGCATGGTGGAGTAATGTGTGTTTACCCAAATGTTCTTGGAGTTGACGAAGCAGGCGGGCCGTAAAACGGGGTTGCTGCTTGAGGTGTGTGTTGTGAAGGCGCCATTGGTGCTCAAGGAAAGGCTGTAGGTGTTGAACTAGGGATGGTGGAAGCCCTTGTAGTTTGAGCCATTTGGTATAGGCCGTCTTGAAAATGAGGAAGTACCGAGCTTTGCTTGGGTAATAGGTGCTGTTCATATTGGCGTTGAGGAAAATGCTGAGGTGTGTAGGGAGTTGGAGTTGGTCAAGTGTAAGGATGTAGTGGCCGTTGATGGTAGGGGTATCGGGATCCTGCAGGAGGGTGCGAAGGTGATCGCATGCACAGGGGAGGTCTGCTGGATCTGGCGGGGAGTGGAGGGTGTCCTCCCATGTGCGGTGGTTGTGCAGGTGGGAGCGGAGGGTTTTGTGGGCGGCTTCCCTCAGTCTGTGGGAGGGGAGGTGGAGGGGAATGGTGAAATGCTTGTGCTGCTGGATGGTGGTACGAAGCCATTGTTGGCAGTGCTTGGTAAAGTCGTCATGGGCCAAGAAGGGCACTGTCAATGGGATGTTTGGCTTTGGTGGCGTGAGGTTGCGGTAGATCAAGGCTTTGTTGAGGATGTGAAGAGCTCGGCTGCGGCCAGGTTCTTCCAAATTTGCGGCCATACGCCGGATTGCATACACCTCGAGGTCCGTGTGGCGACCGCTTCTTATCTGTTTTGCTGCCTCAAAAGAGGCTGCGGTGTGTTTGGTAAGGTTGCGAAGAAGTTGGAGGGCGTGATGCTTAGTGGAAGTGTAGAGGTCTGAGGGTGTACTGGCGTTGTCGAAGGCGTCGGAAAAGTCGTTTGTGGGTGGCTAGTCTGGAGTAGAAGTGGGCTCTGTGTTTCGCGAACTGCCATCCCTGAGCTTTGAGTTTGAGGTGGTGGGAAATGAAAGGCCAGTTGAGTGAAGGCATCCAGTTGGCGATGTAGTGGTGCTCTTGGATCCAGGCTTGGTCGTATGTGTCATGGGAGGTGAGTTGAATAGTGGTGTAGTGGTGGATGTTGTTGTGTGAATGCCAATAACGTAAGGAGAGTTCTGCAGAAATGGGAATGTTGTTTTGGAGTTGTTTTAGTTTTGCGCGGCGATTGTGCTCGCGGTGGGGGATGCCGATAGCTGTGGAGCCAACGTAGAAGTGGCCATGTTGATGGTAGCAGCGTTGGGGTTGGTCGGGATTGAAGTGGAGCTTGATGTAGACGGAATTGGAAGAGAGGAAGTTGTGGTAGTGATAGGTGTGGGGTAAAATGTGGAGCTGGCGGAGGCGGTTGCGCCATTGTTGTGAACGACGGGTGTTGGACGGGTATGCGAAAAGAAGTGTGATGTGGATGAGGCCGGTTGCAAAGATGGCCTCGGCGCGGTCGATGTATTGGGTGCGGTGAATGAGCATGGAAAGTGCTCGGTGCAGGTGGAAGAGTTGGGTGAGGTTGGTGTGGCTGGGTTGCTGCTGGGCCAAGATGGCGAGTCAGCAACCAATGGCTGCGCCGACTCCCACCAGCTGTTGTAGGCTGCGAATGGGGAGTCGGTTGACCCGGTTGAGGGGGAGGCCATACTTGGTGGCTGCTTCTTTTAGCTGCTGCGTGGTGACTTTGCTTGTTTGCAGCAGTCGGATGACTTCCTTCGCAGCTTCTTGGATGGTGGGGTCAAAGGTGGTGACCCATTGTTGGATCTCTGGGTGGTTCCAGCCTTCGGGGATATCGTCTTGCGGCGTGGGGTGTGGTGGTTGCAAGACGTCGGTGATGGCTGGTGGTTTCGGTGGTGGTGGCGTGGGTGCGTGAGAAGGGGCGGCTGGTGCAGAAGATCGGCTGGTGTTCTTGACTGGTGTGAGTGGGTTGCCCAGGTCGTGGAGTTTCTGACGTGCACGAGCCAGTTCGTCGTTGGTGTTCTTGAGGGCGCGTAGGGCGGAGCCTTCCGCAGGTGCTGGAGAGTGGGTTTGCAGTTGGTCGATAAGCAGTTTGATGAGGGGAGCGTGAAACGCTCGGGCATGGGTAGTTTTGTTGGGAATGTCTGTGCTCTGTTGTGTGTGGAGAGCTTCCGCGATGCCGTCAAGGTCAAGGCGGTTCTCGCGGAGTTGTTGGAGAAAATGGGTCACGAAGACCGACTCCGCTATGCTTCTGGTGGCAATGAAACCTGTGAATTTGCCGTTGCTCAGGGTACGGGCGGTGAACTCGGAGGTACCGTGGTAAGCCAATTGCCACGGGAAGACCTCAAAGGTGGGGAGGCCGGCCACTCCTGCTTTTCGAGACCACTGGGTGGGTTGAATTGTACGATGTAGTTGGTGGCCGTGCAGGGTGTTGGAGTCCCAATGTTGCTCGGTTGGGTTCCAGGAGTCGGGAACAGGTGGTGTGGGAGATGGGATGTGGGGGGGGCGGTGGGGCAGGCGCTGTGGTGCCACGTGTGGTGGGTGGTGGCGGTGGGCTGTGTTGGAAAGTCGATGGTGGTGGAGTAACGGGTTCGGCCGTGGGCAGGGGTGGCGGTGGCGGAGGTGGAAACTCCGGCTGGGAGGTGGGTGCCTGGGGTGGGGGTGTGTGCTGCGATGGTGGTGTGTACGGTGGAGTCACATATGGGTTGGAGTGGTGGACGTGATGTGTACGAAGTGCGTGAGTGAGTGGGCCATAGGTGCCTGTGGGGCTGTAGGCGTGGTGTGCGGTGGTGGGAGGAGAGATTGTGGTATCTGGGTTGGTGAGCTGCTGATGATGTTGCTGCATCAAATACTGATTCCAGTAGTATTGCTGCCACTGCGCGTCCATGGTGGCTGGGCGAAGTATCACTGGATCGTGGGCGTGGAGCACCGGTTGTTGATTTGAGCAAGCTGAACATGCGAAAACAGGTGTAGGACAGTCAAATGAGGGAGCAATGGTGGCGTTAAAACAGTCATGCTGTCGGAAAAAGGTTCAAAAGAGGAAAACCCGAAAACCGCGGAGAACACAGGAATGCCGGAAAAAACCCGAAGAAGTTGTCTGTGTGGATCCGAAAAACATGTTGAGTATCAGACTGTCCACTGAAGCGCGCTGTTTTTCGTTGTGCGAGGTGAAACTGAACGTGTTTGTCTGCGGAGCAAGCTGGGCGAATGTCCGAAGATGATGGTGGGCATGTTGTTAGAAAGTTGTG